CATTTTTGAAAATTGGACTTTTCTCAGATTTTTTCTAATTATGGAAGTCTTTATAAAAGTAAACCTAGATATGCAATAGAATTCTTACTTAAAGAGCACGTTGTTTGGATCATCTAAGTATGTCAGCAGAATGGTCCTGGGCTGCTGTCCGGTCTACCAAGTAAGATCTTCCTCAGTTGGTCACATCCACATCGTCAACTAAAAATGCAAACAATTGTATTTGTTTAGCACAAAGCCACAAAATGGGCTTTCTGCACCTTGTCCATTGTGGAAACCCCGATTTTTGCATTGTAAATCTGTAAACTTGCTGCTGAACCACCAGTGGACACAAACAACTGTTTATAATCTGTGGCTCACAGAGAAGTGTAGCATGCTTCTCTTTAAATGCTAATCAAGGTATGATTTATATCAGTATTTCAAAGTCTGAAGAGTTATTTGAAAAAAATAACAGGTAACAGTTACACCATAAGTATCTTCATGACACGGGATTCTTATCCCTCTGCTAATTTACTTAATTCATAGAGAGTAATGTGTTCATAATTTGTGTATCTCTTTTATAGCTAATGTTTTTTTTTCCAGCGAACAAGTGCTTCATCTGTGGTTCGAAGTTCTTTGTTCTTGCATGCATGTTGTACAGAAAATGTACCACACGTGGTCCTTCATTAATAGTCCAGGCTGGGTCCAAATCAAGTGTGAACTAAGGTAAGTTTCACTCCTGTGAGAGATTATCGGTAGATAACGAGGTAGAAGTAGATCTCCATGAATATGAAGTGTTAGTTTTAAAACTTGTTTAATTTAATGGTTAAAACTACTGTAGGCCGGGGTTAAGAAAGAATATTGCATTTGTTGTTCAAGTTGAATTAAGAAATGTCAGTGCTATCACTTTGTTTGATGATAGGTTAACTAAAGCATAAACAGAGTGGCATCAGAGATTCCTCTTCTTAATCTTCTTCATAGTTTCGACCTTAAACATTCTCACCCAGTTCTTGAAATTGTATCTCCATTATATTTTTTGTTTTCCACCTGATTGCTTCCCTAAATATGAAATTATCATTCCTCTTCTTGCTTTGAGATTTGACCATTTTATCTTATTGGTCTTGAATTTGTATTTCTAGTTAATTGAAAACAAATTGAGTGGTCTGTTGCTCCGTTGTCATACCACTTTTTTTAGTGTTCATATTTTGCACTCGTACATAACAAAGTAGCAGCCATGTTTAACTGTCTTCAAATCATGCGGAAGATGATATATGTGAAGTAATTGGCTGATTACTGAAATTGTTATGGTGTTTTTAAGCCTAACCACAGTGATATGTTTTATTTAGTATTGTAGATATTTTTACTTATATGATAACATTAATATATCAATTGTGGAATCATCTTAGGTGTTAGCTAGCTAGTCTGACCTTTATCATTTTGCTAATTGTTAGATTTTTTCTTGAGCAGGTTGCTTTCACAATTTGCTTTCAACCTCAGTCCTGATTGGGAGATTCCTGTGAAAAGGGAGTTGTCACAACCACTCAAAGAAGGAGTTAGAGACATGTTAGTCAAACATCACCTGTTCTCCTGGGACTTGTGACAGTTAAGAAAGAGGGGTAGTTCTGCAGATGGGAACAGTAGACTAGTCATTGGTCAGCCACTAACTGACCCCTTTCAGAAAACAGTAAATGATATTGTTGTCAAACATCACCTGTTCTCCTGGGACTTGTGACGGTTAAGAAAGAGGGGTGGATCTGCAGATGGGACCAGTAGACTAGTCATTGGTCAGCCACCAACTGACCTTTTTCAAGAAACAGTAAAAGATATTGTTGTCAAACTTCACCTGTTCTCTTGGGATTTATTACAGTTAAGAAAGAGGGGTGGTTCTGCAGATGGGACCAGTAGACTAGTCATTGGTCAGCCACCAACTGACCTTTTTCAAGAAACAGTAAAAGATATTGTTGTCAAACATCACCCGTTCTCTTGAAATTTGTGACAAAAATTTAAAATTTTATAATACTGGGGTTGGTGTAAGTCATTAACTAGTCACTCTTGGATATGTTTTCAGGTATTTGAATTTTGTTGCAACTGTAATACACATGTGGGACAAGAGTTTAAGCTGACCACTTGTCACTAGTCATATAGTTTCTTTTATGAGATGCTGTATTAGATATTGTTAAGCATGTGTTTCTGTGGGCTTGTTTGTACACAAAGAAACAGAAAACCAATCAGCATCAGATAATGTTAAATAGTGTGCCATTTATGTTTCTTTTACGAAGTTTTTTCTTCAGAAGTAAGTTTTATGGAGGCTACAAAGATATTATGGTGTAATATGCTATTTTACTTATGTCTGTTTATTGTTGAAGAATTTAGTGTTCAGTAATAATAATAGGCTATTAAATTGTACCCCCCTTTTTTGTGTTAGATTCTAGTCTGGTTCTACATCTTTGTTATGTAATTTGGTCTCATCAGAGCAGTTAACCCTAAATCTGGCTTCCTATTAACCAGATCCTTATCTGTTTTATTGATCATTAGTCTGGTTCTGTATGGATACTTAACCATAAATCTGGCTTCCTATTATACAGATCCTTATCTGTCTTATTGATCATTAGTCTGGTTCTGTGCAGATACTTAACCATAAACCTGGCTTCCTTATATGGATCATTATTAGGTTATTGATCATTAGTCTGGTTCTGTCTTGGCAGTTAACCATAAACCTGGATTCCCATTATACAGATTCTTATCTATCTGATCATTAGTCTAGGCCTATCTGGATACTTAACCATAAACCTAATCCCATGTCAGGTAATTCCCATTTTGACTTGGCCAGGGTGCTCCATAGACTAGTGACTTTTAGCATAGCCTATTGACCATCAGCCTTATTTTTCATCTAGTATCGTGCTTTTTCACAACTTCTTGCCAAGTCCATTTGTGTCTGTTACATTCTTCATGTGATCAGTATCCTGCAAGCTAGTGAATTCTGAGTCACAATGGGCTGGAAACAGAAGATAGATACCTTATACCTAGTGCTTACACTAATCAGATTTTTGTGGAAATTTAGATGACGAGTAGACATGAATGAACTGGTTATAACTTTAAGGCTTAACAGACCCAAGGCTTCCCATTGCTTGCAATTTTTTTTTCATCATATATTCTGCACATGTGCAAGAAGATTAACACTGTTATTATGAATATAAGAAATACTAACTCCAGATAGCCTGGTCATTTTAGTTTTTGCTACAACTTTTTAGCTTACATCTTAGTTAGAAACAACCATGCCGCAAGTCCATTCCACAGTGGTAGGTTTTAAGTGTCTAAACTTCTACAATTTCAGTTTAATAACTTGTACACAAATTCTAAGTAGAGATAAACAGCAATGTTGAGACAATAGTATATTTTCTGTATTAATAATATTGTCTTAACAGCATTGTTGAGACAATAGTATATTTTCTGTATTAACAGTATTGTCTTAACAGCATTGTTGAGACAATAGTATATTTTCTGTATTAACAATATTGTCTTAACATCATTGTTGAGACAATAGTATATTTTCTGTATTAACAATATTGTCTTAACAGCATTGTTGAGACAATAGTATATTTTCTGTATTAACAATATTGTCTTAACAGAGTTCTGTTCCACATTTTTTTGGAAGTCCAAGAATTGAAGTAGGACACATTAAGGAGTTAAAAAATTTGAATTCCAGTCAAAACTATTAGAATGGATGCTTTGACGTGCATGTATTTACTTCAACAATTGTTATTTGTGTGTTCATATTTGAATGTGTGAAGCTTCTTTGTGGAGTAGATGATATAAATCATGAGTTGTAAGATAATTGTTATATGTTAAACAGCGAATATTAAGGTCGGCACTTTGATTACGAAAAAGATGATGAAGTACGCATGTACATTATTGAATAAAATAGTGTGTATGTGTATGTAAACTTAAGCTTTATGACTGATAAAACAATTAGAAAATGGAACATACAATCAGTAATCACTACTTTGCGAAGTTTCTGTTCAGTTATCAACTGGCTTTTGTTATACATATTGAGCGGCTTAATTGATTTGATGTAAAATTTGTTTATGTAACATGCATCTGTGGTAAATCACTAAAACTTCAAAACTTATGTAATGTTCTCAAAGTTTATGTGCAAAGAAAGAACAGGTCAGTGTTGAGTGTCAGTATAACAATTGATAATTTATTTTTATTATTATTTTTTAATAGAAGAATGGTAAAATTCAATTCTGTGATTAAGTATCTAGTCATTTTAGTAAGACTACTGTGTTTGGTACAAGATAGTAATGACACTTCCGATTGTGTGGCCAAGTGTTAATTCTGTGTATTTTTTGCTGTGATTAACTTTATAGTACTTTTGATTCTGGCATCATGGTGTTTTCGTATCATTTTATATTGTATGAATGAAAACTGGCAAGTTTATCAATACTGAGGCTGTCTTGAAGATGCACATGTTGTTCATTTGGTGTGAGCCGTGTAAACATTTGAAAAATTGTATATTTCAGAATCATTGCCTCCGAGTTTTAAAACAAATATGCATTATATATCAAAATGCAATGTTGCTTTCATATATAATTTCTTCAAATTCATTGACACGTTAACAAGATCATTTGAAACAATTTTAATATCTTTTATTTTTCTCCGTTATTTATGTTTAGAGTCAGCTTAATCTTCTTTAAGAACGAGGGGGCCAAATTGGCAAATAGAAAAGCTAGCATATGATTAAAAAAAAATCATTCTGTCTGTCGTGCCCGATCATTAGGATGTAAACAGCAAATAGTTTGTTCAGAAGATAAAAGTTATAGTTACTGACACTGAGGATTAAAAGATTTTTTATTAGTATACACTAGTTTTCTGCATACAATATTGTTCTTTCTATACTGTTGTCAGTGGCCACGTATTAATTGTAAGAAAATAATATATACTTCATAAATTGTTTGGAGGGGTATATGATTAATAACTTTGAAACTAAACTTTATTGTAGATGAGTCTGTTGGAGAATACTGGTGAATTTTGTTTAAAAATTCTATCAAACTTCTAAATTTTTATCAAGTTAAACTCTTTAATAACTCTCTTTTTTTGTTTAATTTTATGAAAAACTATTTTTGATATACTACATGGAAATAGTGACAAAGACTTATACAAAAATTCATAGAGTTTTATGTAATTTCCATAAAGCGTAATAGTTTGTTTATCACTTTATGTTATCATAAAATTTTTCCAACAATTCTTGTTCCTGAAACGTCACAAAGTGGACACTTATAGGTTTGGTTACTTTAGTTGTGAACTTGAATAACCATGAATTGCAATATTAATTTATTATTATAATTATTGATAGAAGTAACCACTTATGTAGTCAATACTGTTATAAGTAACAGCTGTGAATATTGTACAAAAGTATTTTTTGCTTGACAGTTACGTAGTGGTTTCTAATGCTAGAGGAACATGCTTCAAACTGTCTTGTAGACAAACTTAAGTTAAACTTAACACTATGAGTCCTAAACACAAGTGGTTTATTAGAGAAAGTCGCTTTTCAAAATATTATTTGTGGCTAACTATCTGTCATACATACATACATGTAACTGATGGTTGTGTCCCTTGCAAGTTAACATTTTTCAAAATAGTTTGTTTTTCAGGGACTAAAAACGACTTTCTGACATCATCCTTACTACTGCCCTGAAATAAGAATCTTAGTATTGGAACAATCGCATGTGAACCCACAGAGCTTTTCACTAATCACAATATAAATGCTAATCTTAACCGTGCTTAGATAGACGAGGTAAATATTTGTCCCATATATATATATATATATATAAATATGTTTTTCTGGATTTTAAAGGTAAGGAGATAAAAGGTTAAATATTTTGTATCCAATCATCTTAGCAGGATTTATAAGGTGTGAACCTCTGTGAAGGTAGTCATTTCATTTATAGAAATAAAGTACCTGGATTTACATTTAAACCTCCTCATTCTAATCTTTTTATCAGAAACCGGGACTTCATATGCATTCACTAATAGCACCCAGAGTATCCATTGGTTGTAAATACCTTCAAATGGTTACTCTCTGAGGACTGTAATATGTGTATAGATTGTTGCATGATTATCAGAGTAATAAATGTAATTACTGCCAGAGATCTCAAAAATCAGTATTTATAGCTAATTAATCATCCTTGTTGTTATCTTTTTTTTTTAAGACCGACCTCTTTCATTTTAGGCTTAAAGCAAATCTTGTATGATTTTTCTCTGGAGGAGCAGAGATACATTATTTGTTTTGTTGAATGATGTTAGAAAAACTTGTGTCAAGTGATACTAACAGGAATTGTAAGCAGATTATCTCCATATTTTGTCAAGTGGTACTGACAGGAATTGTAAGGAGATTATTTCTTGTATCAAGTGGTACTGACAGGAATTGTAAGGAGATTATCTCTTGTGTCAAGTGGTACTAACAGGAATTGTAAGGAGATTATCTCTTGTGTCAAGTGATACTAACAGGAATTGTAAGGAGATTATCTCCATATTTTGTCAAGTGGTACTAACAGGAATTGTAAGGAGATTATCTCCATATTTTGTCAAGTGGTACTAACAGGAATTGTAAGGAGATTATCTCTTTTGTCAAGTGGCACTAACAGGAATTGTAAGGAGATTATCTCTTGTCCTGTTAGTACCACTTGACACAAGAGATAATCTCCTTACAATTCCTGTTAGTACCACTTGACAGAAGAAATAATCTCCTTACAATTCCTGTTAGTACCACTTGACACAAGAAATAATCTCCTTACAATTCCTGTTAGTACCACCTGACATAAGAGATAATCTCTTTACAATTCCTGTCAGTACCACTTGACACAAGAGATAATCTCCTTACAATTCCTGTTAGTACCACTTGACACAAGAGATAATCTCCTTACAATTCCTGTTAGTACCACTTGACTTGTAAGGAGATTATCTCCATATTGTTTGAAGTGGTACTAACAGGACAGTAAGGGGTTGAGTGTCACTTAGTACTATCCAGAACATTAGTGGATAGGTTAGTGTCAATCTGCATGTAACAAGTTTAGTTGAAACAGTGAACAAATGAAGTTTTTGCCTCTAAACAATTTTATGTGAAAAAAATAATATTGATATAATAACATCTGATTCTCTCTACTTTATTGTAGAGCTTATTAAACTAAAATATAAAATAAGTTGTGAAGGTTTCTATAGAAGAAAAACTTTCATATTAAGCTTTAGTTCCATGCTTTCCCTGTAGGGTGGGTTTTACTTTATAAGTATTCCTAAACATTTTTGGCCTGTGCAATGTTTCTACCTTGAGAGTTAAAAGCTCTACAGCCACAGTAGTAAGTGCATATTTGTTCAAACATGCTGTATTAAAAAATATAGGAATAATTCACAGAATGTATATGAAACTGATTCTATTCAAAAAATTTCTACTATTTAAAATTGTGATTGTTTATGCAGTTATTTTGAAGCTTACTATTTTGTACTTGGGGGTTTTCATGTATTTGTTCGTGTAAATGTTGTAAAGTTTAGTTTGTGGGTCAGTATTAAATCTCTTGAAAACAAATTTGTCATTGAATTTAGTAAATGCCAGTGTCATTATTTTTCAAGAATGTTATAAAATACTGTGTTTAAGTAATTTAAAGACTAATTTCAGTGTAGAAGGAATTGTTAAGAATATTGTTTGATAAATTGGAAAGTATTATCCTTTCACAACTTTCAACAGTGTAAAAGAAACCACTGCATTGCCTCTAGTTTGAAAACAACTTGTAGCAAGAAAAAGTACAATATATATAATAACCTCTTATTGGCTAATAACTTACAACAAAATAATATTTATTTTACAGGATGTATTGACTTCTTCTGTTTGCTATTTATTTCAAAAATGTATCTTTACTACATTCTACCATAAGTATTCTACATTATTCAAGTGTTTTAATAGTTAGCTGACTTCAGAAGATTTGTGTGTTCTTATTTTAGTCACCAAAATCAAAAAATTTGCAAAGTTCCACCTGTAAAATACGGGTTTTAATTTTTTTTTAGTTCTTTAATCAAATTGAAATTCCATAACAATCAAATGAGTGGATTTTACAATTAAACATTTTATTGTTTTTTTAAGAATATGTTTCTTAGTTAACTTTGAAAGTAAGCTTAAAACAGTTCAACGTATTTGAAAAGTTTATTTTTTGTCATTGTATCTTACAAAATCCAACATGAAAACAAGAAGTTTAAGAGCTAGGAACATATATTTATTTAAAATTATCAATAAATGTATAAGTACACTTACAGATGTTAGTGTACACTATGATTTAAATAATTTTTGTTTTCTTTTATTCTGGTTTTTATGATCGACAATTATAATACAATAAGTTGGGTAGAAATGGTATTATTGATTAATTTTTTTAGTATGTTTGAAAAACGTTGCATTTACATAATTTCTTATTGTGTCATGTACAAGAAAAATATTTTTTCAAGAAACTTTTGTTTTGGACCGCTTCTTCATAATACTGGTTTTGTATAGGATTGTCTTTGGGGTCTCTAACAAAGCATTTCTTTAGTTATCATTGTTTTTACCTTTCATCAAAAGTACTATATTTAAAGGACTTCAAAAGACGCAAACGAACAAGAATCAGAAAGATTGATCTTTTATTGGAATTATCGACTTGTGTAATGTAAAAAAGATGATATCATTGAAGTCGGTACTTGATGATATGTAATCTCATCTTATTGTGTCGACTTGTGTAATGTAAAAAAGATGATATCATTGAAGTCGGTACTCGATGATATGTAATCTCATCTTATTGTGTCGACTTGTGTAATGTAAAAAAGATGATATCATTGAAGTCGGTACTCGATGATATGTAATCTCATCTTATTGTGTTTATATTAGTTGATTTTAAAATTTGATGTTGTAAGTAAATGATTAAGTTGGTAGTAGCCATGTTGCTACTTACTCTTACATTTTATTTTGTCAAGATTTTTTAACTTTGATAGTCATAAAAAAATATGAAACAGACTATGGCTGATTTTTTTAAATGGACAGTTTATTTGAATTTACCTTTCCTTGAAAAACACAAGTTTACTTTATAGAAAATATTTCACATTTTATATGTAATAAATGAGCAACTATGGGAATATATATGTATTTCACAGAAAAATGTTCTATACCATATGATTTCTGCATTTATCTCGGTGCTTGCTGACAACATTGCAATTAATAGTTTAGAATCATTCCATCTCAATTAGCTGATGCATAGTTTGAGAAGTTTCACCAAAGGATTTGTGAAAAAATATTAGCTGTAAAACATCTATGTATTTCATTTGAAATTTGTTGTTATAAAGTTCTGGCATTTAGAAAAGGTTTATGGTGTTTTGTTTCTAGTCTTTGTTAGGTTTTTAAAATCTTGATCATTAGATATCCCTGGTAAGTGATAGTGTGATAACTATTCTGCCTAATCTGGTAATAAGAAAACTGAAACCATATATATTTTTATATTAAATCAGGATATGGGAACAATAAGTGCATAAGAATTAATAAAAAAAAATATATTGTGAAAGCTACAATAATATTTTGTCAGAAGCTGTGTTATAGATGTATAAATAGGTTTAAAATACACGTGTAAAGTGTACAACGTTTCCCTAAGATATGACCACTCCACTAGAGTGGGTGTACATGGGTCACAAAAATTAGGGCAGTGTCCAGTGTAGAAATTTAAGAAAAATAAGAGTGTCATTTGTTACAAAATAAGAAAACGTACGTGCCACTTTTTAAGATGGAGAAACCACATATTATTGGACATTTAAAGTTAACAGTTTGTTTTAGAAAGCAGAGGAGCAAGTGATAGGAATTAAGTATAATTGGGTATAATCCAAATCTGCTTTGGTAGGTTTCGTTTAAACGTATATTGGATATTTTTTATGGATAGATAAATACACGATGATTTGATGAAGGAACTACTTTCTGTATACCTACTCTACGCAGCATTGACTTGGTATTATTTTAGTTAATGTTAATTTACAAAGTAGTGTTTATTGATTGTTAAAAATGTTGAAGAAGCTTCTACTCTCGTTCAGTATTTTATCAGTAAATGTCATATTATAGTAGCAGTCAGTGTATTGCATGTCCGTTTTTTTTTTGTTCTGGTGTCTTCTTCATCGGGATTCGGTCCATGTTTTGGAACTGGGAGGGTCAGTTTCGGCGTTGACCTTGTCCATATTTCTGGTGCAATGCCACGTATCACTATTTAAGCTAGGATTTTGGGAAAGTGGCAGTCGCGGGATAAGATAAGGGGGCCGTGTCGACTATTACCCATGTACACCCACATTAAAATTGTTTAATACTTTTTTTAGTTAACACACATTTTTGTTTCCCATGACAACTGAGATAAATCGTCAGTTTTCTGAGTAACTAACGTGGACCGGAAATACGTCACGAAGGGACGACCTGATGTAACGCATTAAGACGTGTTTTGTTATTACACCATTCATTATTCACTTCTATTACGGAGTAGAATACAATATATATGTATATAATTGTTTTTTTCGTAAAACATAGGTCGTTCCTTCGTCAATTTGTAGCCAGAAAAATTCTTTAGGATTTCAGTTACTTATTTTTATAAACATGTTTATTAACATGTCAATCTTTCTGAACTTGTTTATCTTCTCTGTATCCGAGTATTTTTTTAAAATTTTATATTGTATATTTTTTCTGCTATTGTAAGCATTTTCAATTTAGTTCTTACGCGGTAGGTAATTTAAAAAAAATTTCCCCTTTCCATCGTCTGCAAGCTTTTTGTTAATATATGTTTACAAGTACCCCCCTCTTGTATTGTACTATTTTGAGCGATTTATTATTTAGTGTTATGAGATCTCAAATGTCAAAGTTCAAGGAACATGTATCTATTTTTCTGTTAACAGAATATAGGTGTCACCATATCGGTCTAATTATACTTGATGAAAATGTAGAAAAAATTCAGATAACCTTATTATGAGGGCATGCCTGTGTGTTACTGTAATAAATTGTGTCATTCAACAGCCAAGTGTTAGTTCTGTATCCTCTTAATTTGTTAATATATTACAAGTTTTTATTTGTGTTAAATTTGTACGTCGCAAAACAATGCAGTTGATATACAAATGAAGAGGCTGGGTGAGGCAACAGGTACTCTTAATTTCATATGAATTGGGTTTAATATGTAATGATTGTACCAGGTATAAATGTACACTATAGAATATAAAAACTCGTGCAATTACGTTTTGTTTTTGGATCGGCATGGTCAGGTGGTTAGGACGCTTGACTCGCAATCCTGCTCTTTAGCTCCAGAATGTTTGTTATAGGTGTGCGATACACGATATCCTTAACATACCCCCTTACTTCTTTCCTGTACTGGCGTCTGTAATTATGTTGCACCACAGTCACTGGCTTGATTTCTGTCAGCCAAGCGATGCATTGGGCCCTTTCTTGCACGATTGCCATTTTACGGGGTAACACTACTCACTGGAGTGAAAAAAACAACAACAACAACATGGCAATAAGCACTGTTCCAGTTGGGCTTCAATATGTTGAAAACTGCGTGGTTGTATGTCCTTAGTTAGTTATTAAATTTTAAAATAAGAAATATTATTTTGGGCCACCCTGTATATATTTAGGGTTACT